AACCGGTTCTGTATGATGAGATGACAGTCGAGGTAACACTGTATGCACTATCAGCTAATATATATTCACCAGGGGAGAAATGTCTATGTGGGGATTTGGCCAGACTTGTTGCTTGATAAACATTATTATCATGAATAGCACCAGGACATCCAGTGACACAAACACGAATTCTTCGTTTGTGATCACAAACGAGCATTGTAGAGATACCATACGCACGTTTATAAGAATAAAAATTATTCTTGGCATAGCTGGGACTACGCTCGGTTCTTATAAATGTACCATCGACAAATCCGACGCATGACTTGAAGTGGCTTCTTTCGCCTATCTTCTTTGATATATGTTCCCTTTCTTCTGCCGCTGGCCAGTAAACATACTGATCTTCTTTAGCCAGAATTGCATTTATGGTTCTCTTGGTGTAATTGATCACAGTACCTTCTACTTTTAATGTTAGATCATAATAAATCTGAGCGTTTTTTTTGTCATACCAGAAACACCAAAGTAATCGGATACCTGCGTGATTGAAGCAGCATTTCCTTTACATCCCAATCGATGAAAAGTGATCAAGAAATGGAGCTCAATTTTCTCTTTCGTGAAGTTCTCGAACTCCTCATAATCACCAAACGCTCTGACTGCGTCTTTGAAGGCTTCTTTACTCATCCTTATTTTACTTTTAAAGACACTTTCTCTACCTTCGTTTAATAAATCGAGATATGTGCCAGTACGAATACGAGTACCCCAGTTTTTTTTTTACGCTGTATCTTTCGGTTTGTAAAGCAAGGTAAAAAGCTGCCATTGTTTCCGGATTCTGTTTTGTCATTGCGATTATGCGACGATCTACTTCGGTCGACTTGGTTTCTCGTTCATATTTTGTAATGAAGAAAAACAGCATTTTTTTAACGTCTTCCATGAGACGTTTTTTAGTTGACAAGAGAGGCATATAATAATAAAAGTGTTGTTGAAGTGGAAAAGACTAAAGTAATAAATTATGTCATGCTTGATAGCCTTACATCATGTAACGAAATACCAAAATGTTATTGGACGAAAAAAAAGCTGGAATTAATTTTTATTTTGCTGGAGCACTTTTTGCTCCAGCAAATTTAAGAAATCACAAAAAGAAATCGGAAAATGCTTGGCCAATAGAATTTATCTAAAATTTGCTGGAAGCTGGAACCTGGAGGCTCGATTTTATTTGAGCGTCCCTAATGATTAGTAAGAAGCTTTGGACATTATGAATGATGCTTTGATCAGAACAACACAAAGAGCCACAGCGATGGGAGGTATTAAAACACTTTTTTTGGTGATGTTGCACAGTTGCTACCTGTACGTATTGACGAAGGCCTAATTTGGGATTCTCCGCTATACAACTACTCTACTAAATTTACATTGCACGCACCGATTCGACAAGTTGATCAAATACTTATTGATGTTCTTAACAAAGTTCGCATATGTAATTTCGATGAGGAAGTGGTTAAGTTTATCAATTCTAGAACGTTCCTTAAAAGTGACATACCAGCCAGTTGCCTACGTCTATACACAACGCGAGTTAACGTAGACAGAGCCAATACCAAGGAGTTTAAAAACCTGGAAGGCGATTCGATCTCGATCACTTCTATAGATATTTACAACGGTGGCAATCGGAAATCAGCTGTCAGAGCCTTAAAAGAAACCCGACTTCTTGAAGAACTATTACTGAAAGTCGACATGCCGGTCATGCTCCTTCAAAACTTGCGGGTCTCTCAAGGTTGGGTAAATGGCACTTTAGCAAAAATTTTAGAAGTCGATGATGAAAATATCTTACTTGTAAAACACAACGCCGACGGCAGTCAACAAACAATTTGGATTCAACGAATTACCAGATCGATTCCAGGCACAAGCTACGTCAGGTCAAAATTTCCAATAGTCCCTGCGTTTGCTACTACCATACATAAAGCACAGAGTATCACAATTGATTCTGTTGCGATTCACTTAGATAACATGCCTTCCCACGGTCAAATGTATGTAGCAATGTCCCGAGTAAGAAAAGCTGATGATTTATACTTCTTTGGTGCAGATCTACCTGTCAGAATTAAAAGAAAATTTGGTGTGAACCTTGACGCTGTTGATATGATTGAATACTCTGAGCAAAGGCATCAAACCCCATGAGTCGTACAAATATTATTCTATAAATAACCACATGCATAGCACTATAAATATCAACACAAGCAACAATATGACTTTTAAATTATATATATAATAAATATCGACTACCAAGTCATAACGTTTATTAACAAACAACTCTTAAAGATGATCTTAAACCTCGATTAGATCTCAAGAAAAATTACGAAAGAAAAGTCGAAACAAAGTTACATAGTATTGTCTCCATTTCTTTTTTGCGATTCTCATTAAATCACGGTAAATTGATTTAAGTACTTTTTTTTTTTTTTTTTTTTTTTTTTTTAATATGTGAAAACAATTTTCTGCGTCCAATTTATAAAATTATCCCCTCCCTCCTTCACGGCAACTTATGAAATGTTAGACAGCTGGCGATCCTTCGCCTTATTTGGTAATGTATCTTTGACGGGACTATGAGGATTATATTCCGTCATGGACGGAATTACAGTTCTCGGGGTTATCCAATATTATATTACCGCATCTCGTAAATTTGCATTTAAGAGTGGATGAATCGATACAAATTTGAACCACGAGAATGATTGATGATAGTTGGACAACAGCTGATGTTTTCTGACAGCAATCACCACAACGAGTGAAACGATTCTGGATTCACGTAAATTGTTTAAAAGGGAAATATTGTAAGGGTCAGGAAGACAATATCAATCCGTGGACAATTAAAATTAATGGATGTATGGTTAAAATCAATGGATGTATGCTTAAAAGCATTGGATGGATACTCAAGATCAATGGATGCATGCTTCGAATTAATGGGTACCCATTATTTAATGTCACACATACGGTTGCATTCTGATACTAACAAGCTATCTCTATTTTCCTGGATACAGGGTATGTGCAGCCAATTTCGTCTCTTTTTGAGGTTTTAAATCAATCGTTTTTTTCATGGTAATCTGCCCAATATGCTTCTTTTAGACGTACTTTTAAGACGATTAGTATAACTTGAGAGAATTATCAGGACCCAATTATATATTTTAAAGACCAATAATAAAGTTTTACTTCTATTAATAAACATATAGAATCTAACTAATAGACATATCTATAGACTGCATATAGCTCAGGTAATGTGTAAAAAACTATATGTAATAGGGTAGGAGACATTCAATACCAGAGAAAACGTTATAGATGTGCTCCCTAAAAAAAGAAACCTAATATGCCACATTGTTTACACCACATGACCTGTTTTACGATTATAACAATATTTTCCTATTATATGGAGACGAGGTATGTACTCTCCGTACTCAACATCCTGTCTCCGTCTACGTAATGAATGATGTCGGTATATTATGAAATATTCCGGTATTCTAGCGTTCATTTCTTGCTTAGATAACATACTACTGGAATTGCATAGATTTATTTAAATTTCATACCTCTTCTGTCCGTTATTTATGCCACATGAGTATTTAACCACGCAAGGTAAACGGTCTATTAATTTTGAGTAAAATATAACCTTAGGTCAAACATATAGCCATATTTAGCCTTTCCACTAACCTGCGGCGGTGAAGCATCCACCGAAGAGCGTGGACGTACTGATATAATTAATAAAAAAGGAGCACCGTAAAACCTAAAAATCATCTGACTGTTCTCACTTATCTTAACAGGATAAGCATTTACATATGACTATAAATCAGTTATTTCAACTAAAAAGCAAGTAAACCGAGCCTCCAACACTAACATCAGCCATGTCATCAAATAATGTGGGTATATAACGATCTGTGGATTGATAAGCGCCAACTGAGAGAAATAAGCTGGCGTGGTTTAAAATTTTGAAAGGGGGCTTTGTTAATTAGCAAAGTTTAGAAACGTTTCTTGCTTTTTTTTCAAGTCCTCATCCTAGCTTCTACATTGTGAAATAACAAAACAAGAAATAGAATCTTGGTATGTCACCTTCTATACATTAGATGAACGTTTCACCATTTTCATCAATCGCACAATTGTGACAATGTCGGCAATGTCACTAATACCATTTTTTTTCTTCATTTTTTTGTGTAGGGTACAAAAGTTGGAATACAAGAGCAACACCAAGCAGCCGAATGTCTCTTTATGATTCCCAATGCTGCGTAGAAACGTCTTTTTTCTTCGAATGCCTATTCAAAACAACAAATGCAATCTACCCATGTACCAGTTAGTCACATATAAGATTTTGCCCTATTTTATTATAACACTGTTAGTTTGGCTTTGAAGAGAACGCTCAAACCTACCTTGTCGTATAGTGATTCAAGTCCAACAGAACTTGTTCATCACCACCTTTAGCTATTAACTATGATAACCCTTGTTTAAAAAAGCTAATGGAGTAAACTTGAAAATTTTGCCAAAGCTTGCTAGCACTGTAGAATTATTCGAAATTTAGTTAGATTTGATGAATAGGCTCCGGTAAACAAACAAAAATTGTTTTTACTATTAATTTGAGGCCACTAACTAAAGACTTTATAGTCATGATATCTTAAGAAATAAGACAATCATCATCATCACTACTTAACATAAAGTTTTGATAAAAAAAGTTCTAATAGCTGACCATAATCCTCATTACAAACAGGATAATCAACGAAGTTGGATTAAAGTAAATCGTGTTTGTATTTCACATGAAATATAGAAAAGCCATTCCTTACATAATATTGTTGGTATTTCTACCTCAAGTGACTTTAAATCTCTTTTTTTTTTGTAAACTCCTGTAAGAGTATGTAGTGGCACAATCAAAAATTATTTAATGATATAACTAATATAACTCATTTCAACTATTTGACAGAAACACTACGAAGAACAGAACATTAGTTTATTTCGCGCATGTTGCAAGTGTAATTAAAGGATGATAAAGGTTTTTCGATTTCAAATTGTCAGGTTTTATTTGGTGATGCGTAAGTAAGATGAGACAAAATAGGCTTAATCACATTATTGACCTCTTGATCTCGAAATTGGTATCTCTTCGCTAATTCAGTAGCAGGAAGTCTTACAATATCACAATACTTCTTCTTCTTCTCTACATCCGCCAAATGTTCGTAGTGATATCTCACTTTCTTTTGACAAATCGCTTTTTTACAACAGAAAAAGCAATGTCTTTATGGACGATAGAAGCAACATCATCATATAGTGTCACCTCTTCCAGAAGGTAATCATGCAAAAGGAGGTTCGCCGTCGATAACATGCGGTAGTCTTGCACCCACACGGCAATATTTGGTAGCCCATGCATTCCTTGTAACTATCACGGATCGATAGCTGTAAAATTTTACTAAGTTTGATAGTTTTATAATTCTGTGGGTAACAAATGTCAGATATCTCGGTATCAACTGATGGTCTCAGTTAAATAGAAGCAGTAGCAGCATTTTACTCAAATCTTGACAATCTTTGACGTAAAGAAACTGTCATTCTGCTTGGAGAAGTGGAATTGAGTGCTGGCGCAGAAGAATTTGCAATTGCTGGTGCAGGAGCAGTTCTCGGTACATTGTTGAGGAATACAGGAATATCAATTAGTTCCATTTGGTAATTTCCGAAAGACGTGAGATATTGAAATGTACTTCTAATTCTTTTTTTGTAGCTTATAGGGGCGATCTTAGCCTACTAAATATTCCTGAGGAAATTACATTATCAAGAAGTTTTTGACCAAAGACATGTCTCAGCCGGAAAACCGTTCATCATGATTCTTTGTTTCGATGGAGAAAATATAATCGCCAGTTTTTTTTATAAATACGGCATATAACTGGTTAGGTAATAATTTTTAGATGTTGTGCTCGTTTGACTTACAAATTCTTTATAGTTCGAATGTTGGAAGTAGAAAAATTCTAAAGACCTGCAGAAGCTCACATCGTTATGGTAAAAACTCAAATTTTTCAGCATGCAAGCGTTTAAGCACTTAATTTTGTAAATGTTGAACCACAGCAATCATTCGCTCTCTCTTATGTTAACCGGTATTTAATGAATGTCAAGTGCGTAACCGCGGAAAACTCCAAGAAATTGTTCACACATGCCACTATAGGCCTGTAAGACGTTACTAATCTAAAACGACAGGTAATACGCTTTAATTCATACTGTGATTTATACTTATAGTAAATCATATTTTATTATGTTATAGTAAAACTACCGTTTCTGAAGCCAAAAATGGGGGACTTCTTTAAATATGTGATTCGGTGGCCGATAGGACAGGTATTACTAAGGAAGCAAAAGGGCCTTGTTTCTTATCAGCTTCGCTTTTTGAATGGCGACGTCAATCGATGGCTCTTTTGGAATTACTCTCTTTAAATAACGGCGAATGTCTGGACAGCCGCCTGTTGATGACTGGAGTAAGTACTGTAATGGCTGTTTAACTATTTCGCTCAAGAAGAAAAAGATCTTCCATACTTTAATATTCAATTGGCTCTATTATGGCGACCTTAAGTCCAGATTTGACTTGACTCACTCTTTATTTATAACGACTTATGTCTGAAAATCTGCGTACTGTCAATGCAATTAAGTACTGCAATGGCGTTGGCTCTTATGCTCTCAAGAAAAATAATCTTTGTTTTCATTGTTTACACTTTCTCAATGGCGACATGGGGCCAGGAATTTCAGGAATCACTCTCTATACATAACAGCGTGCACGTGGAAGGATCCTTTTTTTTTACTATTAAATTGTGTGATACCATTGCGTAGTCTGTTGTTCGCTTAAAAAAAATTATTTTCGCTTCAATTCCGTCATGACGACATCAGGAAATGGATCTGCTGGAATCACTTACTAAAAGAAACGGGTTATGTCTGGTAGCCCGCTTGTTACGAATTGAAGGATGCACTGCAGAGCTGGTATTTCTTATGCGCTCGAGAAAAAAAAAGAACTTCCTTTTTTTTTATATACTTTCTTAATGTCGACCTCAAATCATGTCTCATTGGGAATCACGCCTCATATGTCTGGGAGTTGTTTTATTATTGATTGAAGTTTGTACTGCACTGTTGGAGCTCTTTTTGAATTGAAAAAAATAAATATCTGTTTTTACATTTATTTCGCTTTCCTAAAGTCGACATCAAGTCAAGCATGAGCGATTATCACTCTTTATGAATAACCTCAAATGTGTGGAAGCTTCCTTCCTCCTGAATGGAGTGTGCTCCGCAGTTGCCGTGTCTATTATGCACTCAAGGGGAACATATTTATATTTTCTTGATTCATTCGGTTTTTTCTCTTGGCGATATTAAGTCTACGTTTTGCTGGTATTATTTTTCAAGATATCCTTAATTAATGTTTCTAAATGATATTGTTTTTCTTATGTTTATATTAATTAGGTGGGTTAACGTCTTTTCAAATTGGTGTGATAAAATTGGATCATCAAAAGCTGGCGCTTTCGTTTGGGAAGTAAACAAGATATATATTTCTAATGGCCGAAGGGGCAATGGTTAGTTTCATAATTTATAAGCGTTTGCTAATGTCACATTTAAGAATTTAGTACGACTGAGTTTGCTTCAGGATTTCGTTAACGAGGATGAATACACTTCAAAGTCTCGTACCTATAGAAAGCACACAATGTCAAAAGCATTACGAAGAAAAAACAAGATGTAACACCTAATTTAGTATTAAAATTATATACTGATTCCGTGTATTTTTTTATTTGGGGACAGTTGGTGGTAGGGTAATGTACTGAAGAAAGGGAAATTTTGCACTGTTATGCTTGTAATTAACTGGAATTATTATAGAATAAGAAAAAGAAGAGGTAATGCTTAATCCTCTGTTTGATCGAATTTTCTGCTCAGTTGTCGTATTTAATTTGTGTAGAATCTCGGATGTGTGTCATGCAGCCTGCTGCAATAAGTAATAATACGGAACAACTTTTATTTTCCGACAGTGTTAAAGATAATAGCCGAAACATGCCTGAAAATAGTGGATCCTGGTTTTTGAGAGTGTTCTACAGTCAACATTTGGTGGAGGAGATTCTAGTAACAGCCAGAAAAAAGTAATGGTGATTGCTGTTGGTATTTAGTGGTTTGCTGATCCCATTATTTAATTTATTAAGACTTTAGATAAGATGTTGTTTGTGATTTAATGACGACGAATGTTATTACTGTGCATGGTCTCGGTTTATATATTTGGCTGTGATGTTTGAGGAATTATTGTATTGTGATGACGTACGCTGCCGCTTCCTACTTATCTGCGAATATTGGTTGATATTAACTTGATTCTATGGACTGCCCGGATGTGTTTATTAAAACAGTGAAGCCATGTGGATCATTATTCTTACAAGTTTCCGAAGAAAAATAAAGCTACCAGCATACAGCAAAGGAAATATTTCCTAAAGTTATCTTCATTATATTAGCTTTGTAAAAATGTACATCAAATAACATAAATCTTGAAAGCGATCCTTCAATTATATTGAGGCACCTTTAGCAAGATCCTAAAAGGTAGATCATCAATGACAGTATATCAATGATAAAATTGGAAGTTTAATTAGACTTTAGAATTTCTACATGCTTAGCTATATCTAATACAAAAAATACAATAATTATGCTGGTAAGACTGTTGCATATTCCTGGTTGGGTTCTTCAGGGTGTTTTTTATCCGAGTTGCAATCATTAAAATATGTGGTTTGAAGTTCTACGCTCATGTTTTCAGAAGTCGTGTGATGTTGTACACAAATTTAAACCCACAAATGGATAATACAAACGTCAGAGGATTAAACTGATTTTCTTAAGTGATATTGAAGTACATTAATTATCATTATCGCGGCCAAAACATAAAAAGTCGCGATAAGTATCCTTACTAAACAATAAGGATCTTTGAAGCAGATATTAAGTTAAGTGTACATGGTCGATAGAGTTATTATTGAAAATTCGGATAAATGTTTTTTGAATAAAAAACGCTATACATATTCCATTTATTCTTATCAAAACCCTTAAAACCTGAAAAAGTGCTTTTAATGTGCTTATGGAAGCGGTCAAAAATAATAATTTCTGAACCAATAATACAAAGCGTTATGGCTTAAAATCATGGAATACTAGCGAATACACTTTCATGATGGGGTTCACAATTCCTATGTATCGACTATGATTTAGGACCTTAATTGATCAATAGATGGTAACTATGCGTATTGGACTCCACATCAATAGATTATTTTTGACTATAGATGTAAGGTGGTTTTCAAGTATATACAGGAATACAGATTCATTGCGTGATTGGTTAATTATAGACTGCCAATATGTTCTTCTTGATTAGTAGAATTTGTTTGCATTATGGGTTTTTTGATCAGCATAATTCTGTAGTGGGATCCCCCTTCCACCCAAATTTCCCATCCCCATTCGACGTAAAACAACCCGCACCGGCCGTAGCAGTTTAATCCATAACATTTTTGTGACTGGATTTTCGATCAGCCAGTGACTGCATTCTAGCTGTTTTAATAGGGTCGGACCTCATCCGTTTTTCTAAAAATAAGATGAGGTCCGACGGTAATTATACGGGATATGTGACAAAAAATCAAAATTCTAACGCTACCAAAACGTGATAGCTGAAAAAAATGGATTAGATCCGACCCTAACCATAACGTTTTTTCAAGGAAAATATACTTCCTACGGACACCCCGCACTCTCTAACGTTCGATGAACGATGCTGAATCAAAACTATTTTAAAACAGCCCTCATTATATCGGGTGCCTAACTTTAGATTTGGATATTTAAACAGATGTTTTTCCCTTATTTTGATTTGATTTCGACTCAAATATTCAAAATTATAGAAGGAAAAGTTGTATGGAAAATTAAAAAAAACTATGGCTACATATATATTTGGAATGATCTTTCTGTGGAAATAAAACTGCGCACGATTTCGTTACAATACACATTGAGTCAATATTCCACACATACAAATGTAAAAGTAATAAATTAACTAAGAGAGCATTCAATAAAAAAAGTCCCTTGTTTTTTCCATTCTCTTCTTTTCGTCTTCTATCTTTTTCTCTATATTTTTATTAGTTTTTTTCTCTTCTCTATTTCCATTTTTTTTCTCCTCTATCTCCCTTTTTTTTTTTCTTCTCTATTTCCCTTTTTTTTTTTCTTCTCTTTTTTTTTTTTTTTTTTTTTTTTTTTTTTTTTTTGGTATCTGTCTTTTAGCTTTAGCGAATTTGAGCCGTTTAATAGTATCGAAGAACTTAATTCTTTGTATGTATTTTGAGATGTAGCTCGGAACCTCTGGTATGATACGCTTTATCTTTTATAACAACTATAGGGCATTTAAGAAATGTGGGACGGGGTTTTGAACCAGCCCTGTTTTCAATGCAAGCGTATTTACTTCGTTTAGCTACTTTTTTTTTGTATGCAATTCTTGTTTACCTCGCTTCACTTTTAACTACACGGATAAACACGTTCGTCTAGATCTTTGTACACCCAATTTTAAGCTCGTTATAAATGTCAATCTGGACCTTTTTAAGTTCATTTTTTAGGCTCATTATTAGTAATAAGTCGGAGCATTTCACGTTTACTTTTTATGTTTGTTACTGATGTCAGCCCGGATAAGTTACTGTCAACTTTTTTGCGTAATATAAATGTTATTTCTTTAAACAATTTCTTATCCTCGTCAAACGTATATAGAAAAGACATCGGATTTTTAATACAAAAAGACCAAAATCAAGTGGTTTCCAATAAAACGTCTTGAGGAGAGACTATTTACAACCCTTACCCATACAGCAACACTAACGCTGAACAAATAATATTATTAGGTGATCCCCCTAGCAAAGGTAACGACGAATGGTACTACATGTAAAACAAACATTTATAACTTAAAGGTAGTGTTAACATCATTTAGATATAAGTGCATATACGCTTTCTAACATCCGCTAAAGTGTATCACTCAGGCCAAAAAGTATTCCTTAAATATACGTATTTACTTTGTCAAAAACTAGAAGAAACAAAAATTCAAACTGCCCAGTTAGAAAAAATATTTTTTTCGCTAAGAAATAAAGACAAATATATATATATTGGGATCCAGTTATATAGGTAAGTAAACGATTCTGTTATGATTCAGTTTCAATACTAAAGTACAAGTAAATTTGTTTTTTTAAAAAACGACGGTTTTAAATGGATAACTTGGGATAAGAACTTGAGCCAAGTTACAGTGTCGATATCATGATATGAGTGAGATGTCTAAATGATTTGGTCCTATGGCGCCGCCCTATGGTCGTAAATCTTGATCTATTTGTTGAGGATAACATAATAATACACCTAGAGTAGAACTATCGGAGATGATCCAATAAGGACATGATTTCATATAATCACACTGGTGGCAATTAGTCGTTCCACAATTTACCGCTATCAATAAAACAATGCTGTGTAACGTGTATCGAGCGAAGTGTCTCATAGGACCTGAGCCATACGTATATGGAAATGAGTGCTATTGTTTGTATAATTGTTTATTTACTTCGTTATATTTATTTATTTCTTGACCTCGGTAAACTAAGTTTGGTAAATCATAAACCTGTTTACGTCGCTTTGGTCTTTCCTTCTTCCTTCTGCCTTCATTTCCCATATTAAGTAGAACAGTCTATTAAGTGATGACTGTCAAGGTTTTGCTTGTTATGGAATCACCGGTGCAGGACACTCTCAATACCCTCCTCTTGATACCTTTCAAATTATATATAAATACCCCTTCATAATTTTGTAGAATTATCTCTATCTTCTTTTTAAATAAAATTAGAGACGACTTAGTCCTAAAAGTACTTGGCCTTTCCCTTTTCTATTTCACAACACCGTCTCACCATAGAATATATTTGATTGGTCACATGAGCTGCCAAATCCTAGTTGCATATGTATGCAGATCTGTATATGGAATAGCAATGATTTTCAGCCAAGCTTCCATGACTCCAAAGGAAAGTTAGAACATTTTCCCCAATGGCTTTTATATTTTATCATAACGCCATTTTTGTAGTTAAGGAAATCTATCACATGGTATTTACATATTTACGTAATAATTAAGGTAGTGTTATTTGACAGTGGAAATGGCAAAGCTGTTGCAATAATAGCGCAAGTGGAATATCTTTCATCAGCCAGGTACTTTCCTTTTTTGTAGGAACGTCATTTACTGCTTATTGGACCACGGAATCTTTACTACCAGCACGTTTCTTGAACCTGTATGATTTATCCAAGTCGTCAATGTTATTAAATACTCTGGAATATTAAGGAGAGTGTCATGAACCACGTACTTTGCACTTTGCCCCTGACCACGAATCCCCGACTATTCGAATGTTCTGGAATCTCATGCTGAGATTCAACAACGCCAGTGTCCAGAACCTTCCAGGACCTTCCAAGACTATCCACGCAACGAACCTCCGCTTCCAAGAGATTAGTAATCATGACTCGTTTCCAAGTATCTCCGACGCCAAGCAATTAGTAATCATGACTCATGGGTTTCGGCCACGTAAGCTGAAACCAACACTAAGACTAATTAAGTAAGCCAAGACATTCTTAAATGCAAACCCATGTTATCTGAAAAGATATAAATACTCCCCCTTTCCATTGCCTTCCCCGTTCCACGTCGATTATCTTGTATCCTTCCCCTTCCCTGTATAATCTATTACTTTTATTAAATACTTTATAAACCACTCTTCCTTTGTCTTTGTATAACTAGTAGGTATCTTCTGATATTATTGCTATAATATATTCCTAGCCACGTTCCTGACAGAGAGCATATCAGATGCCAATATCTTCAGAAGCGACATCGTCTGGAAAGACCGTTGTTTTAACCTCGTTACGCACATATTAATTATGCCAGACAATAAAGATTTTTCTCTATGGTCAGCGAATATAATTAATTAAGCCCGTCATTTCAGGTTACTTTCTCGCGTTGTTCATCACGAACAGAATATTATTTTGCGTATTTGGAACACTCGAAGACACGTTCATCTTCATCTCAAAGATAGCCACAGAGAAAGAATAGACTTATTCCAGAGCCGTCGTTATTACAATCTTCTTATCGTTGGCCTACTAGTACGCCCAACGTTTATAAAATAAACATTAATATTTTCATACACTAGCTTTGAAATCTTTAAGAGACGTGGAAATTAAGAAAACCAAAAGCCAATAAAAAACTCTAGCGTGTTCATCTACTGGTAGACACAGTCTTTTCAGAACACCACACATACTACTGAGTGATTATAAAAAGATTTTCAGCCTTTACAACAAATTTAGTCTATGGTGTACGAGAACTTAGACCTGTCAGTATGCTGTGAACAAGGCGCGTAATATTTATCCTTTTCAACTTTATTTTGACACAGTCACCCCAAATCTGAAGAATGCCATATGTAAACTTTATTATTTTGACTCAAAATAAAAACCAACAAAACCGATACTACATAATCCAATTCCGTAATACGACTCAAATCAGAATGAATAAATATTCATAATAGCGTTCCTATTAGGTACCCATAAATTTGCCCCGACGTTCTTGGAAAACTAACATCTCTTTTTTTACGGAATGATCTTAGATAAATTTACAATATAAATATGCATACAAGCACGACCACATGTTAACCTGTTGAACTGTCAAGCCAGATACCATATGAAACATGTTTGAGCTGTAAGAAGAACGAATTTTTGAATTGGTGCTGGGATATTGTATTGATTATTTAAATAAAAAGATTTTACCGTGTTACCCGAAAAACTTTCCTAAAATTACTGTAGAAATTGATTTTTTTAATTACAGACTCGTATAGTAATCACACATTTAAAGCGCGATGACTAACGCAAGTAAATAAAAAAGAATTTCGACGGGTAAAAGTACGTTTTTTTGGTTTTTTTTCCGACAAGCATTCCTTCGAGGTCATGATCTTGACATCGTCCGGAAACAAGGCATCGAAGTATAAAATTGAACCGGTCATGACAAGCGTTTTTAGCAACATTAAAGTTTTGGGAAACCTCCTATTCATTGTTGGTTGTCAATTTGTAGATTTATTGTTTTAAACGAACTAATACAAAAGATGTCAAATCCGACGAAAGACTTTCTGGCTCTTTTATGTCTCATGAGTCTTTCGATGTGCTAATTTTATGCAGGTGACTATATTTTTGACCTACATTTATATTTTTCTCAAAATTAATAGACGATTTACCCTGTGTAGATAAATACTCATATGGCATAAATAGCAGACTGGAAAGGTATGCAATTAAATAGATATATGCCATTCCAGTAGTATATCATCGAAACAAGAAATGAACGCTAAAATACAGGAATATTCCAAGAACTACTAACATCATTTGTCATATGTATGGAGATACGTTGTACCATGCACAGAGTCTATGCTTTTTTTCAGATGATCCGACAATGTATGGTATAAACATAAAAAAGGTCTTGGGTGTAAACCATGTCGCATATTTCGTTGGTTTATTTCAAGGAGCACTTCTATAAGATTTCGTCTGGTACTACGTGAGTCCTATTTTATTGCATATAGTTTTCCACCCAATATTTCAGCCATATGGCGTACATTATTTTGTCTAATGCTTTGCTTTGCAATGGTTTAAAACACAAATAAACTTTTATTATTTGTTTTTAGAATTTATTATCGGGCCTAATCATTACATCAATTTAGCCTATTTGTCGAGAAGCTACCTTTAAAAGAAGCTTTTTGGATGGTTTACCATGAAAAAACGATTTATTTATATATATATATATATATAAACGAGATTTGGCTGCAATAGAATATACACATACCCTGTATTCAAAACAATAGAGACCGCCCGTTTATATCGCCATCCAACCGTTTGTATCACTGTAATTACGGTGTACCCATTAATTTGAAGCATGCATGCATTAATCTTGAGTATCCATCCATAGCTTTTAAGCATACATCCATAGATTTTAATCATTCATTTATTAATTTTAAATGTCCACGGATTGATATTGTCGTCCTGACCCTTACATTATTTTTCTTTTGAACACTTTACGTGAATTCATGATCGATTCATTCGTTGAGGGAATTGCTGTCTGAAAACACCGGCTGTTGTCGAACCATCATCAATTTTACTCGCGGTCCTAATTTGTATCGATACATCCATTGTTAAATACAAAGTTACGAGATGCGTTACTAACATATGGGTTAGCTTTGAGATCTGTAATTCGGTCCATGTTGGAATATGATCCTCATAGTAACACCTAAGCTACTTCGCCAAATAATTACTGTTTAGGATGCCGGTACGACTGGTTTAGGTTACCATTATTAAATCATTCTCTCGAAGTTTACGGATCTTGTAGTGTTTCCTAAACAGTTAAGGTTAACGAATAATAGATAACCAAAAGTAATCTACAATATTATACCCAGTTAAGATTACATCGGGAGAAGCAAAAATTTAGGGCGGTCAAAAACGGCTAAAACTTCTTTGCCTACAAGGTAATGAGGGTAATGTAAAGTGAAGACTGAGTCATGTGAAATGTACGACATTCAGTGAGTCAGGGCAAAAAAGAAGACGCCAGGGGAAAATATAAATCTAGATTACAGTTAATTGAATTAGAACTTAATACGTTCAAATATAAGAGTCTTTACAACAGAATCAGACGGCAGATTTTAAAAAACATTGGTTAAGAATCTTACTAATTCGAATGAGGAGATCGAAGGATACAAGAAATGTACATGACTTGTATAAGCGTGAGTTGTTTGTTAGTTTTCTTGTTTGACACATTGAACAACGGAAATTGGCACTATTATTTAAATTAGACAAAGAAGAAAAAAACGAAATGTCCAAGAAGAACTAAAAAAAAAAAAAAAAAAAAAAAAAAAAACAAAAAGATTCTTTTAAAAACCAAGGTCACACAAACATAATTGATCCTCCAAAAACTATCAGCCTTTATTTAACATAAAACATAGCGTATGAGCAACAACAACCCTCGCTTACTTTTGAAGTTTTTTAAGATCAATATACTAAACGCAACTAATTGCTTACTGTCGTCAGGACTTGCTCTCGAGGGGTTTTTTTTTCAAATAAATCTACTTTTTGGAACTCCGGATAATACCTCCATAACCTTTTTTTTCGTTCCTTAATGACTTTTAACCCATCCTTATAAACTTCCTTGACCATGTTTATAATCAAGAACACGCGGACTCGTAGAAAGCAAGTCTAACAAACCTAAAGTTATTCACCTGTGCATTGTGCTGGAAATATGTATATTACACCCAATACTGTAACTAGTTGTAACAGTCATTTTAACAGCTTCATAAAAACGTTGGAAATTCAAATGACGTTTGTCTCTAATGCAGCTCCTGGTTTAAAAGTGTCACAGTAACACCCTAAGTTATCTATTTTCGCTATGTTACAACTAGTTTGTCTTTATTTAAACTTTTCAAGGTAAAGCATTTGACTGTCAGTACAATTTGAGTCTTAATTTTGAATCTTTTCATTAGAGTTAATCTCCGTGATTCTTGAATATCAGCAGATTAGTATGAATTAAAGAAAATAATGCGGTGGGATTGGTAGTTACTATTGAGAAGACATCCCTCTCTATGGGGAATAAACGAAATGACATGGCTATAACCGGATGATGTTTACAGCTGAGCCGACTTGTAATACCTAATAACTTTTGATAAGAGATACCAATATTTTGTATGTCACTCTGTTTTATTGCATAAACTTACATAAAATGCTCGGGGATAATTTATTCTTAAGACCAAGAGTGCGAATTAACTGAGATTATAAATACTGTATTCAACATCATATGATGAACCATCATTACCCAATAAATATATCTTTCATATCTTTAAGTTTTTGAATATATGTTGACATACAATAAATAAAAAATTAAAGTAAAACTAATCTCGCATTTGAGAAATAAAAGCTAGAACTGTTCACAAGGAACAACTAAATCAGTGATTATTTTTCTGCTCTATTAGTAAGACTGTACGATTGTCATTCAAACCACACTAAAATTTTGAGACTTTTGGACTCTCACTTGGGCTTTCTAAAAAGGAATTTAATTTTTTTTAAAGCAAGTCATGGTATGCGTTATGAAACTCGAATTGTTTTCTACATAAACATACATTGCTCAATGGCGTAACAAAAAATAACGTTTTAACCTTCAAAGTGAATTGTAAAAGCGTGTACGAGTGGAAATCACATGCCATCTGTTTTTTTTGTGGCTAGCATTTTGACGTAATACATCGTTTTTCTATTTTTTAAAAAAAATACTGTGACTCTAAGATGAACAATAATTCCTCCTTCATTACAACTCTACGTCCCCAACAAAAACTATTGCTAATTATATCTTTTTTTTTGAAAAACAATGTAAATGTAGAATTTTTAAAGAAAGAAAAAGAAAGTTTATTTTCCATCTTGTCTGTCACCAAAACCAGAAAGTCGTTTTAATCCTTTATCCCCTATTAAATTAAAAAATGATTTTACCATAAAAGTTAGTCAAATTTTGCTAACATTGTTTTTGCGTGCGATATACCTTTTTGCATGGGGGTGGCTGAGAGGGTCTTCAACCCAGCATTATCCCTTACTCGGTCAGAACGGACGCCTTTAAGCCCCGCAATCACACGAGCGGGAGAAGAGAAGAAGACACCTCAGTAGCAGAAGAAACAGCCGAGCCAGAGCAAGGAATTGACACACAAGGTGCCACAGACACCAAGGGGGAAGGCAAGCAACATCCATTTCCTCCAAAAGGGGACAACAGGAGAGCCAAACACCGAAGAACCAGCAGGACCAGACGAAGAAGAAGGCAAGGGAGAATGGCAATAAGACCCAGCTTTCGTTATGGCTTCACAGCCGGAAAAAGGAGAGGTAAGCTGGCCATTGAAGGTGACGAAGAACAATCGGGTCTCTAGGCGCAAACTGAAACGATGGCGCACCAAGAAAGCCCCGAACACCCAGGCAAAGAACAACGAAGCGTCTCAAGAATCGTCGTGGGAGCGGAAGAGCGGAGGTAGGGACAGGCGCAGACTAAGGGAAAGGATTGAACATTAACTGCCGCAAAGACAACCAGGGAGAAGGTGCAACCCCGCAACAAGACGCTCTTGATTGGGAGGGTTGAGCTTGGTCCTACTCGTTTTCATACCCCCAAATAGT